GCCACATACATTCTTCTTCCAAACTACATTCCAAGCCCGAGCATGCAAACAGACAGCTGCCCTGGTTGTAGGGATACGGATGTTACCAGGAGCATCCCTACAACATTGAGAACGAAGCCACTGAGCTGCACAGCGCAGATCCAGAGCTTCAACTTCCCTCCAACAGTTGCAGCGATGGCTACTCAGCACTGCAGCTTGTCACCCGGCCATCTAAACGCAGAGTCCCAAGAAAAGCCAGGCAAGCACAGGCCACACTGTTTCCTCTCATTTCTCTTCTGAATCTGCTCTGCCTCCTGTACCTCCTGCATCACAGGTTACTACAGTAAATTTGATGATGTGCTTAAATGCAAAACTCAACATATACCGTCTGCAAGTCTGAGCGCTGGGGTCCTGGCCTTCTCTAACCTTTACAACCCACAACTGCCACTTCCTTTGTGCTCCTTCCAGCTCTGTTCTGTAGGCTCACGCATGAGTAGTAGACACCCTCTGGCTCTGGTACCCTGGAAGCTGCCTACTCACCTGCAAGACTTAGCTGACAGATCACCCATTCCAAGAAACGTTGTCAGAACACCACAGGAGCCTAGATGGGGTATGATCTCAAAGTCCTACATGTCACATGATATAGAAATACTTAAAACATAAAAAAAAATCAACGTTAACATTACTGAGTTATATTAAAATTAAAGCATTGTATATCTTTCATCAACTATCCTGTGACCTAAAACAAAACAAAAACCAAAAACTATCTTTGTATTCCTAGTGCCTACTTATACTTCTTTTCCTATTTAATTAAGCAGTTTAATAAATACAAAGCTCTTTTTTCTGTCTTTCTTTTTTTCCTCCCAAGATATCATTTCTCTGTGTAGCCTTGGCTGTCTTGGAACTCGCGCTGTAGACCAGGCTGGTCTCAAACTCAGAGACTTGCCTGACTCTGCCTCCTGAGTGCTGGGATTAAAGGCGGGTGCCACCACGGCCTGGCCACAAAGCTTATCACTATGTACTGACACTTTCCTATTTTCCAACTCACACACACACACCACAGAACCAAAAAAAAAAAAAATCTAAACAACCACAAGACAGTGGCAGCAAAATAGCTCAGGGTGAAAAGTGCTAACCATACAAGCCAGGCACCCTGAGTTTGCTCTCAAGAACTCACACCACATTATCCTCTGGTCCCACATGCACCCTGTGGAGTATGATCACATACACAATAAAAATAAATACTTTTAAAGGATAAACAAAAGCTGATAGTATCTCCCTTCATGACGAGCCATCTATAAAGCTCGGTATAATGGAGTTGAAGACCTGGGTGAGCAGGCTCAGCTGGTGGAGTGCTGTCTAACAGGCACAAGGCCTTGGCTCTACCCTCAGAATCTACAGGGTACAGTGGCATACACTCCTATGCCCATAACTTGAGAGGTAGAAGCAACACAATCAGGATTTTAAGGCTAGCCTGGGTTACTTGAGATGTTATCTCAAAAAAAAAGAGGTGGTGGAGAAAAAGGAAGAAGAAGGAATGAAAGAAAAAGAAAAAAAGAGAAAAATGAAATGAGACTTTTAACAAACTTGAGGAAAAAAATTTTCAAAAGTGGTACAATATATACCATTTATAAGTAACACCCCCAAGTCAAAGTCCTTTCTCCTATCTCCCCAATCAGCAATATGACAAAGATACAAAGACAAATCTAACTCCACCCCTCACTCATATGCAGGGCCTCCACTCATGCTAGCAAGACCAGGAAATCAAACATAAATCCAACGATGT